TTCAGGATGAACCACTAGGACTAGCATGCGAATGGCAGCCGCCTTGATACTCAGCGCCAGTCATTCAAGCATGACAGCCCAATCGACTCGGAGTGGGTGTCGGCAATTTCTAAGGTGAGTGAACACACGAGATATGCGACGAACAATTGTTCTGACGGGACACAGTGGCTTGGCAGAGCTCAAGACTTGATGAGCAATATGGCGAGCAACTATGACATGCCTAGACTCGTTGGAGGGCAAGCATCTATTTTTGTGGCCCTCGTGTCAAATGTATTGCTCCTCAAAGTCTGCTGGAGTCATACACCATTCGTCATCATGACAATTTCCTACGGCATCATGATGTTTGCTAGTAGCTTCGTAGAAGAGGAGCATCACTTCTGGTACTGGGCTACGTCGGCATGGTTTGGTGGGCTTGGAATCGTTCAGCTGCGAAAGTATGTTTCTTTTGACCTTGCGACCCCTCCGAACCAGAGAGCTGACCTAGATTCCAGCACCAAGCAACCATTTTCAAGGGCTTTGCAGCTCTCGCTAGCTCTACTGTCCACTCGTCTCGTGCGGGCGTGGAATCAGACGGGTCAAAAGCATGCCGGGGAGCCGGACATTGTGAAAACGTTCTTGATGGCATCGCCGCTCACTCTCTGGGCTCTCGTCGGGGCCACATACGCACTGCTGGGCATTCGTATCCAACGTTGTCTCTCAGGCTTATCGCGTGTGTTGTCCTTTGGGATCGTCTTCGTCCTCATCTTGTCAGCTTTGACATTCAAGCTTGCCTTCACGCACGAAGATGCCCCGGAGCTTCTTGGAGGATTCGTACACGACATCAGCGCTGCATTGCAAAGGCTCACACTGGTGACTCGTGCCCGGATTGTGTTCCTAGATCTTGCAGCAGTGGCTGCGTACGCTCTTTCCAGATCGGTTGCGGAACCCAGCAGCGCCATGTCCATGGGTAAGTCAACACCAGCCTCCGAAACGTGGTCGCATTGCAACTCACATTCGCCAGCCGAGCTGCTTCATTATCTATATGCCCTGCTCGCAGCCACGCAATCGCGCGTTACAAATATCCCCCTGTTGCTCCTCTTTGAGGTCCAGTATACTTTCTTGGCCAGCCTGGATCTTGATGTCACCACCATCTCAACCACGTCAATACTTCTTCAGTACATGTCCTTTTTCGCGTTCGGGGGCACCAATGCCATCTCATCCGTCGACTTATCCAGCGCCTACAACGGAGTCTCGGGTTTCAACGTGGTGGGTGTCGGTTCTTTGACCTTCATCAGCAACTGGGCAGGGCCCGTATACTGGACCTCAGCAACAAATCTGCTTCTGCTGCAGAGGTCTCGGGGAAGGCCTGACTCATCTGTACTGTTCCGACATCTCACGAACGTCACGCTGTTTGCTACTTGCAGCGTCGCGTTCATCATGGCTGCGTGCACAGCTCTGCGGACGCACCTGTTCATCTGGACCGTCTTTTCCCCAAAATACCTCTACTGCATGGCGTGGGGCATAGGCCAGCACTTGTTCATCAACATTTTGCTGGCCAGCGGCCTGTATTGGGATGGGGCGCGCCGGTCATGAAATGGTCACAAGAGCGCACGGGGGGTTCAGCCCTTGGAGAAATCGCAGATATTCGCACATTCCATAGATTCCCCATAGCAGATGTACAAAGGCCATACCTCATCATCATAAACCCGTTGCCACCTCAGTGCCATCCCAGACCAAACGACTTGTTGCAAACCAAGGACTACAAAGTAACCAGCGCAAACCGTCCGCCGTAGTACACTCCCCTTCAGAGCTCCTCCTCGCTCAGGAGATCGTCCACGAGCGTATCCCTCTCCTTGCCCTGAATGACCGTCCCTTCGTCACTGTCTTCGTCCATACGACTGGCATTCGTTGCCTGGCTCTCCTCATCCTCTTCCTTGATGCGAGGTTCCGTGACGACCGTTCGTCCCTCCGTCTCTGTCCTGTCATCGCCCACAACTGACACGCTCCTGCTGACACGGCGATCGTCGGCTCCCGCCTCGCCTAGGTTGGCGACAATCTTTCCCAAGCTGATGTGGATCTTGTTCAGCGCATTCCTGCCGGTCGTGTCGGACACAATCTTGTCATTCACGGCGATGGACACCTCGTCAAAGGTCTCGCGGATCTTCTCCTCTGAGCTCGTTGGTGAAATGTAGAGTTTGCCGAGCAAGGGCGCCACAACCTTCTTTTCTTCCTCTGCGCGAGGGGTCAGTAAAATTGAAACGGGGGAAGGGGGCAAGGTAGGCTCGCTTACTTGTCATGTTACCGCTCAGACGTTCGAGGATATCGACGGCAAAGTTGAGGTGAATGTCGCCATTGGCTGCCTTCTTTTCCGTGTCCAGACCCAGACCTGGCGTGTAGCACTTCCTTGGGTCAGTCCAATCAACGAGACAAGCGCCGATGGTCGCGAGGCTCTGCATGTCCTCATTAACGTCGGCATCGTCGTCCTCCAGGCTCTCCCTGATATTGTAGAGCGAATGCAGTGCGTCCAATGCGACAGACTGCATGAGTTCCTGGTTCTCGGCGCGAGAGAAGCAGAAGACTGGCAGGAAGTAGTTGAGCGCCTGTCGCACGCTCTGGTTGTGCGCGCTCGAAGGGTCAAAGTAGGCGATGATGAGCGTCTTCAAGAGCTCGGATGAGGAATCATGGTCAGTAACGACGCGGCCGAGCAGAAGCTTCGATGCCGCCAAGGTAGCGGCCGCTTGGACCTCGGGAGCCTTGGACCCAGACCTGAGCGCCTTGATATAGACCTTCAACAGGGCTGGAGTTGTTGCGAGAAGCTGAGATCCATGGACGTTGAGAATGTCTGTAAGAATTTGCAACGCGGTGATCTGAAGAGCAGTATGACCCTTGGTGAAGAAATGCATAAAGAGCGTCAGGTTCTCCTCCGCCAGGGATCTGTCGAGCAGAGAGCACAGGCCCAAGCAAACCAGGCCCCTCTCTCGAACTGGAGCCTCGTGGCTTCGTACGGCGGGCACAACAAGGTTGTTGAGCATCGCAACCAAATGGTCGTTTTGTTGGAGATCCCCGGCCACGTTGGAGAGCATGCACTGAACAATGTGCAGGCACTTCATGTTGACCATGATCTCCTTGATAGCTTTCGCTTGAGACTCCTCTTCGTCTTCTTCCGAACCCTGCCCCCGCCTCTTGGGCGTGGTGTCGCCAGCCACTTCAGACCTTGCCGAGTGGAAGCTGTCCTCTGTGGTATCGGCGTCGGGTGCCACGTCATCCACGATGGTGTCATGAACGTCAGCGACAGCCTCCAGAACGATGCTGCAAAATTCCTTCTCGCCGGCTGCATCAGGGGCGCAGATGTCTCGGAGGACATTGACTGTGAGCTTCGTGACGTCGTCAGGCAGCTCTGGGATCGAAAGAGACTGCCGAAGGAGGGCGAACATTTTCCTCCGGCCCACCTCATCAGAGTAGTCTAGAGTGATGGCAATATGAAGCATCTGCTCGACGATGAACTCCTGTTCAACTGTGTCTTCTTCCTCGTCTTCATCCGCGGCGGCCTGCTGCGTCCTCTTGATAGCATCTACGAGGACACCAATGTAACGCTCGAGGTAGAAGGCCACTTTGGTGACCTCGGGCAACTTCTCCTCCAGCAGCGACTCGTATTTCTTGTTGTCTTCGCTACGGCAGAAGTCATTGAAACTGCGGGCCATGAAGACGGACTCTCCGGATAGAGTTTGCCAGAACTGGTCGTCAAAGACAACGGCTTCGCGGTAGTCTGGCCTGCCCTCCCAGAAGCCCGTCATAGCCTCTAGCGCGACGCCGTTCTCTGCGCCCGAGTTGACGACATCGATACGTTCCAGGAGTTCCTGAAGGCCATCAAAGTTGGGAGGAGCTGGCTCAGCTTGCTGGCCCTCTTCAGTGGGCTCGATTCCGGCGCAATCCTCAATCCAGCGCTCGCGGAAGAGGCGGCCAGCAGACTTGCGCACGTTTTCGTCTCGATCACGCAGACCCCAGCGTAGAAGTTTCTCACGCATCGACAGCGATAGGTGGCGGAAGTCGCCCAGGGCGGGCAGCAGCCTGGAGTACACAGCCCTCCTGGTAGCAGCGTCTTGGTCGCGCGCCCGCTCCAGGAGATGGGGCAGAGTGTTGGGCAAAATCGGCAGGTTCACAAGAAGAGACCGTCTCACATCTGCCGACGGATCATTCTGAAGGACTTCGAGCAGCTTCTCAAGCAGGCCTGTATCATCTCCGTCGCTATCGTCCGAGTTGCCGCCCGCTTCGGCCTGATTGCCAGCAAGCCGGCCGAGGCCAAGGACTGCTTGTGAGCGTACCATGGCCTCCTTGTCGCGGATTCTCTTGAGTAGCCCGTGTCGTAATTTCTGGAACAGCTCGTCGTCAATGGCGTCAAGCGAGTTGATTATGTGTGAGATGAGCTGCGTCGATCTATACCGAACGTATTTGTCCTTGGCCATCGAAAGGGGCAGCACCGTCTCCATGAGAAGACTCGTGAGTCGCGTACTCGGTGTTTCCGGCATGACGCTGGCGTCCTCATCAGCTTCTCCCAGGAATTCATTGTCCTTTTCGTTGGCGTGTCGCAAAAAGACGCCGACGAAGCGAATGACCTTTTCGCCGACGCTCTCGCTCTTCTTGACCGGCATGACCCTCAATACGCATCTGACAAATTCATGGTTGAAAGCTCCTTCGTCGAAATCGTTCATATCGGTCTTCTTCGGGTTCGTGGGCTCGTAGCAGCATGCTTCTTGGATCTTACGTAGGTTGACGACGAGCTTTCGATGGGACGCAGTGTTTCGTTGGGCGTCACGGAACACGGTGCAGATTTGCGAGCGCAGCGGGCTGTCTGGATTCTCGGCAGGCACGTCCACGGGCAACGAAGAAGCGCGCGATGTGGTCGAAGCTCTGGGGTTGAGGGTTGATGATGATGCTTTGTGCGAGACGGCGGTGGATGTCCGCGTCGACCGGGATGGTACTCGGCTCGGCATTGTGACGGATTTTGAACCTGAGATCAGGTTTGTGAAGAAGGAAGATCTTGTTAGTGCCGCTGCTGTCGTCTGGTCATGGGCAGCTGGGTGATTATGTCGGTTTTTCGGTGTTGTTGGAAAGCACTCCCACCCCTGGTGCGCTGGCAGTCGCTATCACCAGTATCGGGGGCGCGTCTGTTGTGGTTCCAGTCAATAAATTGCCAGAAATGGATTAGTGCGGGGTCCAGCTGGCGCCACGTGCTGATAAGCAATCAAGTGCAGACGATAACGAGCCCATCCCGAAAAAAAATCCAGTCCCAATCTGATCTACAGCGAGGGAAAGAGAAACCAGAGAGCTCGTGGCGGCTTCAGTTTGCAAGCTCGTACACGCAACAATCTTACCAATCCACCAAGCCATATCTGAACAACGTATGATGGCTCCCTCTGCCAATGCGCTGAAGCGCTCCAGGGGCCCGGCCACCGCCAACCATCACGCCGACGGTGCTCCCCAGCCGAAGTCGAAGAAGGCCAAGGTCGAAGCCAACCGCTCTCTCTTCGTTCGATCGCTTCCTCCTGACGCCACCAGCGAGTCCCTTGCCGACTACTTCTCGCAGCACTTCCCCGTCAAGCACGCCACGGTTGTTGTGGACCAGGCGACGAAAGAATCGCGAGGCTTTGGATTCGTTACCCTGACTGACGCCGAAGATGCTCTTGAGGCGAAAGCGAAGCTCAACAACGAACTCTGGGAAGGACGTCGTATCACGGTCGATCTGGCTGAAGCCCGAAACCGTGACCAGAACAGCTCAGTACCTAGGACTGCCACTCTTGCCCCTGTCGGAAAGCAAAAGAAGTTCGCAGGCGATAGAGGAGGCTTGGGTGTCGCCCAAGCTCATCATTCGCAACCTGCCATGGAGCGTCAAGACCCCGGCACAGCTTCAGGCTCTCTTTCAGAGCTACGGCAAGATCAAGTTTGCTGATCTTCCCATGAACAATGGCAGGCTCAGGGGTTTCGGATTCGTCACCATTCGTGGCGAGAAGAACGCTGAGAATGCAATCAAGGCCATGAACGGCAAAGGCATTGACGGAAGAACTATTGCTGTCGATTGGGCTGTTGAAAAGGAGGAGTGGGATAACCAGCAAGGCGCTGAAGTCGACACGGAGAAGCCTGTCAGATCGGCCAAGAAGATCAAGGAGAAGCCCGAGGAGAAGCCCGAGAGCAAAACCGAAAAGACTGCGAAGAAGTCTGTCAAGTCTGCGCAGCCAGCCTCGGATGACGCCGATGCTCAACTCAACGCGGATCTCGAGAACTTCATGAAGAACACCATGGGCAATCTCGAGGACGAAGAAGATAGCGACGAAGAGGAGGAGTCCGACGAGGACGATGATGAAGAAGACGACGGCGCCAAGCTCGAAGAGTCCGACGAGGAAGAGGAAAGCGACGCCGAGGAATCGAAACCCACAGAACAACCCGAGGCCGCCAAGAAGACGACGAACAACGACTCCACCGTGTTCATCCGCAACCTGCCCTTCACAACGACTGATGAGCAGCTCAAGTCCCATTTCGCCCGTTTTGGTCCCGTTCGGTACGCTCGTGTCGTCATGGATCGCGCAACGGACCGGCCTGCCGGTACCGGCTTTGTGTGTTTCTTTGACGAGGCCGACTCCAAGGCCTGTGTAAAGAACGCCCCTCGCAGCCAAGCCGCTCCTCTTGTCGGCAAGCACTCCATCCTGCAAGACGAGACGGCAGACCCCGAAGGCAAGTACACTTTGGACGGTCGGTTGCTGTCTGTTGCCCAGGCCGTCAGCAAGGATGATGCTGGTCGTCTGGCCGCTGATGCCGGCGTGAAGCGCCGGGCCAACGACAAGCGCAGGCTCTTCCTCCTCGAGGAGGGTCAGCTCGACACCCGGTCAGCCATGTACAAGAGCTTGTCGCAAGCCGAGATCATGATGAGAGACAAGAGCAGACAGCAACGCAAGAAGCTTGTGGAGGGCAACCCTTCCCTGCACATCAGTCTGACCCGTCTTGCCGTCCGTAATATTCCTCATAGCATGACCTCCAAGGAGCTGAAGCAGTTGGCGCGAGAGGCCTGTGTCGGTTTCGCTACAGATGTCACAAACGGCCTGCGCCAGCCGCTGTCGAAGGAGGAAAAGGCTCGCGCCAACAAGGAGGCGAAGGAGGCCGAGCACAACCGCAAGCTCAAGGGCAAGGGTATCGTACGCCAGGCCAAGATTGAGTTTGAGAGTCGTGACGGATCCAAGGTCACCGAAGCAGCTGGCGGAAAGAGTCGAGGCTATGGCTTCATCGAGTACTCGTCTCATCGATGGGCACTGATGGGCCTCCGATGGCTCAACGGACATCAAATGGACAATGACCAAGGCCGCAAACAACGTCTGGTGGCGGAATTCGCTATTGAGAACGCGCAGGTCGTACAGAGGCGCAAGGCTACGGAGGGGAAGCAAACGTCCAAGAAGCAAGAGGCCGAAGAGGACAAGGAGGAGCCTGCAGATGAGCAGGCCCCGGAACCCGAGAAGAAGACCGCGAAGCACAAGTCCAAGCCCAGTCAGAAGTCGAGCAAGAAATTTGCGCTGAAGACTGGAGCGAAGCCGCCTGGCTCGGCCAAGCCTGCAGAAACGTCAAGCAAGCCAGCGAGCAAGACTGCTGGTGGGTCTAAGACGGCGGCTGTCTCGGGGAAGAAGGCAGCCAAGGAAGAGCAGAAGGAAGATATGCAGCACAAGCTGATTGCGAGGAAAAGGTTGATGCGGAAGAAGAAGGCTCAGTCGCGCGGCAAGGCTTAATTAGGTCATTTCAAAGTTTGGTTGATGGAAGCTGGATGATATCCATTTGGCTCCACTGAGCTGTCGTATTTAGTGAATACAACGAGTTGTTTATGGCGACTGGGAAGTTGGTGCTACTGATCATGTATTCAATTGCTTTATGGAAGCAATCTTTGGGTTGGAAACTGTGTGCATATCGACAACGCAATTGGTGTTACAAGTTTCGGCGCACCAGGATAGCGACGTGATGCTTTACTTTTGCTTGATCTTGGGATTGGGATTAGTGAAAAGAGACCGCACATGGGAAGACAACGTGCGACAGACTACAACGCAACGTGGCGTCATGGGAACCTTCAGTCATCGGAAAAGTATTGATCGATAATTGTAATAAATGTATATCCAAGGCCGGTAGACTGGGGCCGAAAAACCACAAGAGAAGACGAGACGACCAGCCACCGTCCCATGTCCGGAAACGCCCTACAAAAATGCAATGCTTGGTGTCGAGATGACAGTACAGCGCCACGGCTATGGAGCATCTTCCTCCAGCCCTCCCTCGGCAGGATCCCTCTTCTTCCGCTTCACTCTGAAGAGCTCACCCAGGGTATCACTCAGACTTCTAGGCCGACCGGTCCCGCCAGAGGCCGACGCAAGGCGTGGTTCTTGCCTGGGCTGTATCGGCTCGTCCGATATTATGTTGAGCTCATCCTGCGAGCGGGAGGCCAGACCTCGCCTTTCGGCCACTTCTTGCTCCTCTTCCGACATGAACAGACTCGCGCGAATGCTGGTCCGGAGGCGTCTCATAGAGGGCCTCTTCAGCAAAGGATTATCGGCATTCCGCAGCAGGGTGTCTTTGACCACAGCGCTGACTGTTGATGACAAGGGTGATGGCGAGAATAACGGCCCACTGAACTTTGAACTTTGCGGCCTCTGTGACGCGGGAACAGAGAGGTGGCGCGGCGTCATCAATTGAGGTTCGGCTGTGTATGACATGGGTCCCAGACCGTCCCGGAACGGTGTTGCGGGTTCGGAAGGTGTCATTAATGAGGCCACCGCATCCTCAGAGATGGTGCGCACACCGCGAACAGGCGATTCGTCGCCTGACATGACCCACGGGTTGCTGAGGAGTGGCGCCGATTCGCCGGGGGTCCTGGGTGGGTTGATAGATGGTCTCCTGAGCGTTGGCTTCCCGCTGTCGTGCTGCATGTCGGTTTGAAAGATGCTGGCGTGTGATACTTTGGAGGAACGACGGGAACTTGACGCCCCGCCAGGGTTGACGGATGCTGCGAGAATGGTGCGAATCGTGACGAGCGAGTCCTATCGTTTCCTCGCCATCGATCTCCGAGTAGGACTCTTCTTCGTCCTCCCCTGGCCTACCGCTAGTGACCAGAAACACGCCAAAGAAGGTGAGCAGGCAGCCGCCGATGAATTTCCCCGCTTGTTCGCCAGAAGTGCGCTCGAAATCTCTGTACAGGACGGCACTGCCGACAATGACACAGAGGGTGAACGTCACAAACTGGATGGGGATCACCTGTGTCGAAGGAAACCTCTGCAGGGCTTTGTTGACGTAGCGAACTTGCATGACGGCTGTGAACAGCAGAATGAAGAGCAGCACATATGTGACAGGAGTCTTGAAGGCGCCAAGAAGGGTGGACGAGAGCATTGAGGAGACACCCTTGGTCGACAGGGCAGTGTAGCCACCTGATGAGGAGCGGTCAGTACATGATACGTGAAGAAGGTCGTTCCCCCCCCTCCCGCTTCGTCAGAATTGACGCCCAAGGATGCTACATACCGAAGAGACCGACAAGGCCGAGGTCAACCAGAATGGTTCGGTGGCCATACCGAGGGCTTGCCCACATCAGGATGGCGATGAGCGTGACGGTTACGGCAAGGTATACTTTGAACTCGATCGTCGTGATGTGATCCCACACATCATGAGGGTCCAGCTTTGTTTCCTCTTGTTTGGCGCTCAAAACGACTGTGACGACGCCGCCGGTCGCGATGATGACGCCCCAGAAGTCTCGCTGACGGAAGACTTCCTTGAAAAAGATGGGAGCAATGATGCAATTGGAGATAAGGGCGACGACACCGAGGGGCGACACGATGGACGCCGGCGCGAACCCATACGCCAGAAAGTTGCCGAGCTCGCCCAGAGTGATGAGAATCTGGCCGGCCCACCAGTATGGCGATTTGAGATAGGTTGAGGCAACCTGCTCTTCATCGTCCCCAGAGCTGTCAGACTCGGTTGAGTCTTCGGACCGGAACGACCGGGTCAGAGAATCGGATGTCGCCGACGTTCCATTCCCCGCATGATTGCCATTGAAGTATGTCTCGTCTTCGGTGTGGTTCTGTGGTGTGCCCAGCGTGCCATATGTTCCTCCTGCGGCTCCTCTCGCGCCGTTGACGCCGTCCTGATTAGACCTCAATGCTTCTTTGGCTCGTCGGCGGACGCGCCGGCGCTCGCGATGCAGACGAATGTGCGCATAGCGCTGCACATTCAGCGCAAGAGCGATGAGGACGTTACCGACAATGGCGGTGGTGATGCCGATAAGAGATGACCAGTTCTGCAGGTCTCCATTGTTGTCGTCGCTGCCAGAGTCCTCCCGGTGGATAAAACCGGGACCGGGCCCAATGTTGGGCATGAAGGACCCAAGGACGCCCATCGTTGGCGAGTCGCGAAGACGATCGCACTCAGGCGTACAGGCGCAGCACTCGGGATGCTCGAATGTGCAGCGAGGTTGTCGGAATGTTGGAGGTAACGGTACGGCAGCGGGATGTCGACACCCATGTACAGCCACTGCGGGTCAGATTGAGGGTCATCGAAGGGGGTCGAATGCCCTGTTGTCGAGGTGGGCGGGCGTGTCAGTCGCTCCCAGGCGAAAAGTACGAGCAACGAATATGACGGGAACGAGTGCGACGGCCCTGCGCGAGATCCGGGAAGCTGGCGGGCTTGTCGAGGCGAAGAGATCGAATCCATCTTGGCGCGGTAGGCAGAGGCAGAAAGCGGCTCAGACAGCTGACGAAGGAGATGCCGGCGGCGCCGTTTATGCGCCCCACAGTGGGCTGACTGACTGTGCCACACATTGCCAAACACGTCACAGTGGGGTGATGGATGTTGACCTCGCGACTCCCCGCTCAACTCCAAGTCGAGAGCGACAAGCTCCTTCTCATCTTCACCTTTCTCTTTGCGACCGTGTCTCCATCCAGCAGAATCCTGCCAAAACTGCCCGTGTTCCTACCCCCTTCTAGCCTTTGACTGTTTCCGTATTGTCTCTATATTAGTAAAACTTTCGTAGCGAGTTGTCTGCTGCTTGCTTGCTGGCAGGAGACCCAGCTCTCTGTGGTGTAGAGCACCACGTTCTCACATCTCCTTACCTTGCTTGATGCGCAGAAAGACCCAACATGCCGAGCGACGACCCCTTCACCAATTTCTTCCATCGCCTCAAGCAGCAGGTCGATGAACAGATCGGGACTGCCCTCCAGGGCGCGTTGGGCCTGCCAACGGTTCTCTCCAAGACCATGAACACCCAGTGGATGGACCCTCCTGCAACCACGTTCAACACACCCCCGGCCAACAGCACTGGCGTGACTGAGGCGCCGGTGGAACAACATGGAATGAGCCGTGACCCAGCACTCGGTCCCGCAAACTCCAATTCCATGCCCTGGTTAGCCTCCTTGGCGGACCCTGAGGTGCTTGCAGAGACCCTCTACCAGAGTCTCTGGATCTCGTTCCTCGTCGATTCGCCTCACTCACCACTGAAGTTGCGTGGCCTCCGCCAGCCGGTTCCCTCAGATTTGCCCGAGGGAGCCGACCCTCGTCACTTCGGCTTCGAGGATGCCTTTGAAGATCTCCTCATGGTCAGCAGCGGACAAGGCCTACCCGACATGAAAGAGAGATGCGAGCTGAAGAAGGAATGGAACCGGCTGTACCCCCAGGGTCTCCCGCCTGTGCTGTGGCTCCATCAGCTCTGTCGACAAGGACTGTGGGATGGCTGGGAACCGAGACCAGCGTCGTTGGAGGATATGATCAGTGAGAGATGGCGCCGTTGGCTTGCGGCACAGGACGATCGTTTCGACGACAAGTCTGCCACCAAGGACGACGACCAACAGGCAAAGGAGGCCGGGGCCACAAGTCCCTCCGACAGCCCTCTGACGGAGTCGACTGCGGCTCGCCCCTCTCCAGGCACGGAGGAAACGGAAGAAGACGCATACGATACCATCGCAGGTCGTCAAAACCCCCGGGGTATCGAGGCACATTTGGAGGAGCTGATGAAGGCCTTTGCGTTCGTCGATGACCAGAGCAGAGAAGGCAACGGGCGCGAAGTCCGTGACACCAGTCCACGCGAATTACCAGAGGGATGGCGGGTCGATGAGACGGTCCAGGAGCAGAAGGATGTCAACGGCAACACCAAGACAACGAGAATCAGCATTACTTATGACGATCAAGGCAAAGAGGTCGGCCGAGAAACGGAAACTCGCTCCCACTACTCGTGGTCCGCTACTCGCAGCCCTCACGAAAAGGGGTATGGAGAGAACCCAGATAACCACAAGAATGAAACAGGAGCTACGGATCAGGGTTGGTTCTGGAAATGAGAGAAGGCTTCTTCGTTGGCGAAAATCTTCTCATCGGGTCATGAATACAAAAACAATTCACGGATTCAACGGCCACCACCAGTTGGTTCCAGATGCTTCCCACAAACTGCCTGACTGACATTGTGCAATTCCAATGTCTGCTCTACGGGTGACGAAACCCGGCTGTTCATGGTGATATCTCGTACACAATGTCAACTACCATGCCAACATCACGATCATCACGCCGCAGGGCACAGCCGTGCTTCGGATCGCCGCTCATGCTCGCCATAGATTGCCTCTCACCCGCAGAGAAAGAAGTCTGGAGTCGCCCAAGCGTCTGCGACGGCGTATGGCGTATGGCTCCTCGGTCACACTGACATCATTAACCGATCCAAGCTGGCTGGATGCAACCTGCAGCGCATCGTCGTTGCGCGGCCGCAAGTCATGTTGCATATGGACAGGGTCGTATTATAGTCTTACCACAAAGAAAAGGTGCAAAAAGGTGCAAATGAAGGAACCCAGCCTCGCCGTGCCGCCACAACCTGCAACACAACCAACGCAGACCAGACCAGACCAGACCAGACCAGCCTGCTGAAGATATTCATATCCCTGGACACGCGCTCCTGCGTGGCTGGCCGACCTCTGCCTTCTCGCAGTCACGTCCCCGTCCGTGCGCGTGGTATCACCAAGGATAAAACTCTAAGGCCTGATATGACGCTCTGCTAATGATTGACAGAAAGGCGAGAAGTCAATCTCTGTCTCGCGGACGGCCCGGCGGCAAGAGGAGAAACAAACAAAAGGAGAAGGCAGCATCGGCTCGCGGGATGGTACCTCAGCACGGTCGGGGTCGCGTCCGCTTCCAGGTTTGGTGCTGACCGTGAATCGGGCTGCAGAGGGGTGCTATTCCCACTTCGAGGTCGGGCGGTGGGGAGGAGCTTAAGAGCTCTGGTAACGTCCAAGGATTCGGGAGCTCGGTTTCAACCTTTTGGGGCGTCATACCAGTGGATGGGACGGACAAAAGGGACAATGGATGCCAACCACCCACGCACCCAGCCAAGCAGAGTTCCGAGTTGCGTGCTCTCTCTCGACCGGTGTGGCTGACTGACCCAGCGCGCACAGAAAGCTACTTTTCTTTCCCGCCTTACCCTGCCTGCAGCAATTGGGGAGGCTCAAACGCGGAGCCCAAGTGGTCCGGCCCCCGACGACCGTGTAACGATGCTTGACACGACGAGCAGATGGGCTGGCGAACGGTGTCGTCGCAGTACCACCGCCACGTCACGCCATGCCATGGTGTAGACCATACGGCACACACGCGCGCGGCGAACTTCGGACGGCTGCGGCCACACGAGCACGAGGCTATGAGCGCCGCCAAGAGTCAAAGGTCGGCATTTGCTGGGTGCCGCGCCACGATTTCTCGAGTAAGGAGAGACCTGCTCAGATGCCCCGTGCTGGGTCGGCTCTCTCTTCATCTCTCTCTCTCTCTCTCTCTCTCTCTCTCATCTCTCTCATATCAGCCTCCCTTACTCATCTCCTGATATATGCCATCGGGGACCAGGGAGTGATCGAGGCGCGGCCGGGGAACGGTCGTCCCACGTCCCGGCACGGCATAGAAGGCCGGCAGAGCTTCGAGCCTGCCTCTCTAGCTCTCTCCACCTAGCCTTCGAGCTTCCCAGGCCCTGCTGCACCCACCACTGTCCAAGCTTCCTCGACCAGCGACAGGCACCAGGCATGAAGAACCAGTCCGAGCGAAATGGAACTGAATCTCCCCAATGGGCCCTAAATGGGGATGGGCTCCCCCCCGTTCGCTCCCTTCCCAAGTGAGGTAAGGGCGTCAGAAGCTAAAACGAGGCGGTGCGGTGGGAGGCCAAGATGCCGAGCGAGCGAGCGGTTTTCCCTAGTGACGGATAAGGCGTTTGACGTTGTTGGATCGGAAGCCGAAGGGGGGTGAACTAGTAGTGAGGGGGATGGGCAGGGGGTGTAGACGAAGGTAGACGAAGGGGGGTCTCTTTCACTGGGGGTGGAAGGATGGAGGACCCCTCATCATCTTTGTTGCACCCCCTTTGCCCTGGATGCTCTGCCAAGATGCGAGCAAGGTGCGATAGTTATGGATCCGTCAGGAAAGTCCAGGAGCTAGCCACCGCCCAAATACCTGCCTCAGGAACCCCTGCGTCCCTCCCTCCTGCTAACTCGCAATGGATGGGCTCCCCCATATCCATTTTCCCCTGACGCCAAACTGCCTGCCTACCCAGGTACTGTACCATGTCCACCGGCGCCCACCTTGGTGCGCTCCTGCCGACAAACAGCCGTCCGTTCGGTTTCTTAGGGTACCTAGATGGGGCGCGACGCGTCGGCCGACAGCGGGCCCTTACGTTATGGACCCCCCCTCCATGCTCGGGGTTTCCCCTTGTGTTTATTTTTATGTGCTCACAACAGGACACCCATCTATCACAATGATGCCATCTGCACAATCCGCTACCGGGATCATCGTGGCCTGTATGGCCCGGAAAGGCTGTTGCAAGGCCGAGTCTCCCGCTCACAAATGCAGGCACATACGGCAGACAGCCATATTGGCGGTGCCAGGCACCAGGACACTCTGGAGAAACTCAAAGTGGTCCTCTCGCTGACTCGTCAATTCGCCAGCGAAGCCAGACCCCGTTTCTCGACTCAGACACAAGTCGTCGTGGGTTTACGTGGCTATTCCGGCAGTGCTCGAGAGGAGAACCCAAATACGAGCAAAGGAGGAAAAAAAAACACCAGTCTCCATCACAGCGAGAAGCCCACCACGACCCCATTTGGAGAACCACTTCGTCTACCGTAGCAGAGGCCCCCCATCCTCGATCTCATCGGCAGACGTTGACGGACTGACTGGCAGGTGCGCTGTCAGGCATTACATGTGTGATTGTCTCCCTCACCAAGACATACCCTGAATCCCTACACGGCATCCTGTCGGCGTTTTTTTTGGAAGTCAGTGACCCCCCGAGCGAGCCCGCCCAGTAGGCACTTGCCTTAGCACCCCGACGTCTGTCCACTGCGGGCCCTTGCTGGTCCCGCGACGGCGGTTTCGCTTTGTTCCAGTGCCACATTGAGAGATCGACCATCCGCCCTTGCTCTGCCCCCGTCCTTCTGCCCTACCTGCCCTTCCTGTCCTGATTGCGCCTCGAGAGTCTAGGTGGTAGAGGACTCGCCCGGGGGGGGAGAAGACCAACTTGGGCAAGATGGGCAAGACCTCGCGCCGTTTATGGCGTGTCAAGTCGGTGTGCGCGCGCACCACGTTTCACCAACTCTATGTTCGAGGTTGTATCGCGTCTGACGATCTTTCTTCGATAGGCTTGGCGGGAGACGGTAGCAGGGGGATCTCGGGGCAACGTAATCTGGCAGCCCTGGCAGCTCTGGCAGTTCTGGCAGCTAGCTCTGTCTCTGCAGCCTGCCGTCCTAGAACGTCAAGCTGCCGACGTCTAGGCTCGGCTTCACGCGCCAACAGCGTGGCTCGTCACACCGACTGCTCACCAATTGCTTTTTGATTGAGACATCGAATGGCACATGCACTTCCTTATCATGGACCACGTCGAGGGGCTATGACTTCTGCCTCGTACGGTGGCCGGTCCAGGAAGGGATACCTGGACATCCCTAGCCTGGAACTCACGTCACTGTTCCTTCATACCCTGTGCTTCCCTGTGAGGTCGAAGACATGCTTGCCATGTGCGTATGTGCCGTGCCTGTGAAATAGGGCTAAGAACTATACACTGAATGGTTGCCAGGCTGGTTGGGTCGCACGAGAAATCTCTACCTTCGAGACACACACCCGTGCCTGACCTAGGTACCTACCACGGATACACAGCTTCGTGCCCTCGATTCGATCCACACACACACGAAGAGAGGAGCAGCTGCAGCTCCGGAAACCGGGTCGTCTGGCTGCGATGCGATGGTGCCGCCACCAAGAAAAACCTCCAACGATGGCCGTCGTCAGAGGCCAAGGGCCCGCTGAGGAGGGGCACGCAGATGCTTGGAGGTGAGCCGCTCAAGGGTAGCCAAGGCAAGATGAGGCGAGGTACCACGAAGCGACACTCGGGAAGCAACAAGGACGCTCACCACCAATGCGAGGAAGCCCCGCACGCGCATATGCCCAGAAACTCCAGTTCTGCAGTGCGTGGTGCAGCTTGCAGCAGAGGAACAGGAAGCCGCTCTCGAAAAATATTGCATGGCTGCAGGTCCCCATGCTGCATCGCCCCAGGGCATGCTGTGCCCTTGACAAATGTTTGCACCCTCCCGCCTCCTCATGCAAAACAAACTTTCTTCAGTGACCTCGTCCTTGTGTTGGTCGAAGTAGTCAATCGATGATCGCCGCATGTGAGACTGCGAAGCGGTGTCAGGTGCGGTTCGGTTCAAAGAACGTCGACACAATAGCGCGGGCTTGTCCCCGAGATCACGTTCCATGCAACAGTGTCGAGCTGGTACCATGTAAGCGGTCACGTTCCGAACGTCAAACATGGCGTAGACGGAACAACATCGACACGAAGGTGTGAAAAAAGGACGCATTTCGACGCACAACTGTCCCGCCGTGATGGGACGCTCCGCTATGCTGTGGGGTGGGCAGCACAAGGCCGCTCGACTCAACGCGGGGGCTCGACGTGAGATGTGCGACTGGTCAACCGTCTGTGCGTACTGTTGGGGCTTGATGCAGACTCGTGGACCGACTGACAACCCGCCCGAGGCATTTGCCCTCTCGAATACTGCAGGTGGAAGACCCCGGATATGCAACAGCAAGCTTGCCTAGTCACACACTTTTCTGACGGACAGCTTTAGCCTAACAGTCCAGACGCTTGGAGGTCCGAACGAGGCAAGAGGACTGGGAACCAACCACACGTGGAATTGCCAGGGCCATTGTCCAATCGAGACTCACATCCCAACTTGACATGCCAGCCAAGCAATCTGTTACCTTCCCAGCCTTTCGGCCTTTCGGGCTGTCTTGCCAGAGGAGGCAGGACGAGGCTGGCAACGCCATTCAACTCCATCATCACACTTCCACTATCATCCCGCGATTCTTGATTCTCCACCGCAATCATCATGCGTGGGCATCGCAGATATCGCCAGTGGGGTGCTCAGGTCGAGAGGGCTGCATATGCCAGATTAGCAATAGGCGGCCAGAGTTGCACCAACACGACTTTTCTGGCCCTCGAATAATGTGTCTTCTGCTCGTCTGCAGATGACGCACATATGGAGTCTGGACCTTTGCTAGACCCTCCACCGGACACAAAGGCTTGTCGGCAGGCGTGCCGCAAGAGGAACACACACGCAAGCACGCAGCTGGCAAAGCTGACGAAGGAGGAAATACATGGGCAGGTACACTGGCAGCCCTCCCCTGGACCATACTGGTAGCGAGGCCAGGCCCTGGGCCAACTTCCAGGGTCTGTCTGGTCGAGGGCAGCCGGAATGTGGCGCCGTCGACCTTGTTGGACCAGGAAGGAAACCCCCTGCTGCTTGAAAACTGGGGATAGAATCCCCCAGCGGAGAAGGCCAGGTCAGGGTACGGTGCTAAGCCGCGTCGATCATGATCTGTCACAATCGGCATCGCTCTGGCTCAGGTGCGGTATGGCGGTTTGCAACGAGGATACAGTAGAGAGGTTTCGCCTCGAGCACAGGGTTTTTGGAAGCAGCGGCGGTCTCACATGGGTTGCCCGAGGCTGGCAAGATTGGAGGAGATGGCTTTCGGACAGCCGAGGGGGACACACACAGCCGCGGCTGGAGGGATCTGACTCCTCCGAGATGCAACTGTGCGGGACGGTATGCAACGCACGCCGGGTTGCTGCTGGGCCTCTGAGCCATGTCGGCTGGCTAGACTTTGTTGGCTGCGAAGAGAAGGGCAACAAGTCAGCATCCAGTCCTCGTGTGATACTTTCGGCGGATGGGTGGATAGATCAAGGACAGTTCATACATGTCAACCAGTCAGCCTCAGGGCCACACCGCGAGGCAAGGTGGTAACCGGCATCCCTGACGCCTGCAAGCAAGCTGGTGTCTGGGGGAGCAATATCGGAGGTGGACCAGGTGAGAGAGATTGGGATAGATGGGCGTAACCCAAGATTGTACAGTAGTGTGATTGACGGCTGCGCCATGGAATTACGATGGACAAGGCGGTTCCGAAGACGTACGCAACATCCTTCTTTGGTCGCAACCCCACAAGGCCCCACGGGCACAGCGACATAGGTGAGGGAGGTTGGTGGCAACCCGGGGCTCGGCTGTGATGTGTGACGATTGTCGACGGGCAAGCCAAGGGTCGAAGTGTGTTGTTGACTGCAGGTACAGATGGACCCCGAGAGCTTCGAGCCGAGCGAACGAGAGGGTGGCTGACGGTGGCCAGTCAGACGATGACAAGGGCGTGTGGTGCTCACTGTCGAGAACGGCCTGGGTTGCGAATGGCTGCGTTAGCTGCGAGCCTAGCACCTGATGAAGCATTGGGAGCAAGATGTTCGGAGCCAACTCAGTTGAGTCTGAGCAGAGCGAACGCCTCTTCACAAGCGTGGGAAACAAGACCAAAAAAAAAACCACGTCGGAGCAGGCCGCGAATCGAGGCTTCAGCTGTCACTCATCCTCGTCAAGGCGACCACCCAACATTGGGTCTTGCTGACCGGTCAGTCCAGGGAAGTTGCAGTGGAGCTACCATCACTTGCAGCAACTGCGGGCCGGGCACCTCGAGTGCGTCTTGCCCATCCTGGAGTACCTTTGTGTGTCCAACCATAACGCGTCACCGCCCTCATCTTATTGTCCATCTCTCCGCGGGAAGCTGCAGCCCTCCAGTCCTGCACCTGCTTATGCTCATGCTCCTGCTCATCCTCTGGACTTTTTTTTTTGCCTCTCCCCGTTGGACTCTTGCCTTTTGAACCTCTACATGTGCGATCTTGCTAGGGAGGGGGTGCTCCTGCCGGATTGCGCAGAGTGCAGCCGAGCAAGACGAAGGAAGAGTTCATCTCAGAGCAGCAGGACGAAAGGACGCGGTACCTTGCATTGTGGTTCCAGTGCCTTCCATCTGTCCCAACCATGTGTCCATCTTTGCGGCACTTGGTCCTCGATGGCATCGTGGTTCAACCCTCCCTCGTCCACTTCACCCACCTGCCCATCGTCCACCCACACACCCACCCACACCTCCACCACCACCACCACCACCATCAGTACCACCATCGCCACATGCCATTCCGTTCTGACATGCGCTCCCGGACTGCCAGCCCGCGTCTGGATCCCAGCGGCTTGTCACGCTCATTATCCTCAGAGATTAGGCGACCTGATATCCCATTTCCCAGGCCGTCTCGAGCTCGTCTTGGCTTCCATTCGCCATTTTCCCGATGCAGTCCATCATCAGCAGCGCCCGGATAGGCCCAGCTCTGCACAGCGCATCCTCTCTGGCCCCAGGCGCTGCGTTTGACGGATCTTGCTGCCACTCCCATGGATGGCCCGCTCAAACGGCTCGAGCTTCACATGTCGCATGCTTCATGAGCGCCGTGGGACATATGATGGTGGCCATTGGAACGCCTAGTCCTCTTTCTTGCTGCTTCTCGCCTGGGCTCGCTTCGCAGTTGCAGCATGATGACGGCTGCCGCTTTGCTCCGTCTCCAGATCACGAGCCGGCACGCCTGCATAAAGGTGGTGCTGTACTATGGACACGCGCGCATTGCGTTCGAAATTGTTGCTGATTTACTCTGCCACTTCGCTTCGCACCGTGCATCCTTCCCCAGACTCGGCGTCCACGCCATTCTCTTTGCGTCGACGACCCATACGGACACGCGACATGGAAAACTGCCCGTCGCAAATTAACCACCTCTGCTCTGACGGGATAGGACAGAAGACGTGTAAATGACAACCACGCGGCGACAGACTTTCTCGTCATGCCGGCCCAGCATCCCCCGGAATCCGCACCCGGAATCTCCTCCTCAACCGCCAACCAGACTCGATTCGTCGCTAGCCAAAGCCAACCACACACGCGGTGCCCCAGCGCCGTCAGCCTGGCCCGCTCCGCCCCGCCTCCTCTGTCCCTCACGCAAACCCCCCATCCGTACCTCAGATGGGTGTCAAGTCTTGCGCCGCCACTGGGGTGCTGCGACACTGTCCAGCGCAGAAAACGAGACCAGAGCATGCCGCTCCTTGCACACAATACCCACTAACTCACGTCGGCGCCGAACCACGCTACCTAGCCTTCCCACTGATCACAGCATGTGGCTTCCCGCCGAATCGTCTACTGTGAGCGTTGCGGTACGAGAACCCCATACGGCGAGTCGAGTCCGCTGACAACCAGCTCTGTCATTCTATGCATGCACATGCATCAGGCGACCTTGATTCATAAACTCGTTTCCATGCACCTACGCTACTCTCACAAGCAGGTAAAGCCTGGCGGCATGGCGCGCGATGCCCTGCTCATGCTCATGCTCGTCCAGTGTGCAGAATGCATCCACAAGGTGCGCCTTGCACACAACGTACCGCCAACAGGAGACCAACACCAGCACCGTTGCTCCAACGTGCCGTGCCCCTCCACCCCTCTCCCTCCACCCCCGTTGACACTCGCTGGAGTCGCGTCTCGACTCGTCTTGCATCCGGTCAGGCTCCTGTCGCGACACCAGTGCCCAGCAAAGACCCGAAAAGAGCGCGGCCGGGATGCCAGGGGTTGTATTTTGCTGCGCAGCGCATATTGCACCCTTTTTTGTTGGGTCTTCTACTGGGAGGGTTAATTACGGATCCCCCATCCACGCCGCGCAGCAACTCGCAGCATGCTGGCAGGGTTCTAGGTTGCACCGGGCAGGGGGCCGTCATTACCAGCATCACATCCTTCCCCTGCCCGCCCCATGCCCGTCCGTCGTCCCCCTTGTAGGAGGGGGAGGGAAGGAGGTTGAGGAGACTAGACCCAGGGATCCAGAGCCCAGGAACGCTTGCCCAGCTTATCATTCAACAAAAGTCTCACGGACCCCCCCCCGATTCACTTCCCCCTGTTCCCGTTCCATCATGCTCTGCTCTGCTCTGCTTGCCCTCAACCTAGCCTCGTTTCTGCTTGTTTTGCTTTGCCTGCTATTGCATGCCGAATACAAGCTCGACTTTGAGCACACGAATTCAGCAGTTTGCTGTATAAGGAAGACTTGTGTCGCTTTGCTGTCAACTATTGCTTTCCCGCCCAGCTGTCAGTCACCCACGTCCATCTGCAGCGCCCAGACAGTTTTACGCACAAACATTTGGCGTGCACGTCCACAACCACACCCCCGCGAACCCGCAAAAAAGGTCATATCAACACCAGGAAAAGTTCCGAAAGTACAACAGCAGATCTGGACTTTTTTTTCGATTTCTGAGCGAGCCTGGAGAGGTCAAGCCAGCACCGACGCGGTGTTGCGCTGGAGTGCAGTCTTGACGTTGGTTCCCACCGTGGCTCTAAGACCACCATCCTGGCGTAGCACGGGGGTCTGAGACAGGAACGCTGAAGAAAAGAGAAAAAGGAAGCATTCGACGGCCATCATGTGGGCATCCGCGCCATTACCCATCTACTCCACCACCCATAACTTCAAAAAGGCAGCTCGGCGGGCTACCATTGATAACGACAGCTCGAAGCAGGATGTCTCCTCATCAACGTCCCGCCCGAGCACCCGGTCCCGTCCTGATCCTCAGAGTTCCAAGGACATCATGTTTGAGCCAGCTGTAGACGGCCCGCCTTCGCCCGAACGAATCCGTGCTTTCAGTAAACACGTCAAGAGGGTCTCAGCTCTGGAATCAACCTCTTCAGTTGCAGCTCGTCCTCACGCCACGGATCGCCCCTCGTGGGAAAACACGCTTGAGCACATCACCTTGTCCAGGCGATCCTCCGGCCGGTCAACTTCGAGCAGCATGCCATCACGCGATCGACCAGAGAGTGTTCAATTGTTCGGAAAGACCATCTTCAACCGAAAAGTCAGGATGAGGGCAGAGAGCAATGCCAACAGTTCTTCCGGGAGCTCACTCTATTCGACTGATCAACCTCTGGATAGCAACCCCATACCCCCGCCCAAAGAGCAGCTTATCCCCGGTCTGTTTGGGCGGCGCAAGATTCCGAAGACGGACCCTACTTCCGTAGACCGTCCGGCCTCTAGCAGTGGTAACAAGAAACTGCTCATCTCTGGTCCCTACAACTTTCAGCACGTCACTCACACGCGGCGAGAACACGTGCCTCAAGCACAACGTGAAAGTCGCGCGGACTTCTCGGCTGCTCGTCCACCAAGACCCCCCCCAGCTGCTCCCCTGCTGGGCATGGAAGGCGACAGTCTTCATTTCTCCAACTTTTCCTCTGAGGCTCTGGCCATACGCGAAGATGGTGCCCCGGTCGATCTACCCACTCAAATATCACCGCGACGCCTACCGCCGCAGCAGTCCCCACCGCTTCAACGACAGGCGCCAGGCATGGTCTCACCACGCCGCCTTATGAAGCGTACGCGCTCACAGGAGCAGATGCACAGTGCCGCATCCCGCTCGGCGGCGCCTCCCCGGCCTCCCAGGGCTCCCGAAGACGCCATCCCGCCTATCCCGCCTCCTCGTATCTCTAGCAGGACGTCGACCCGGTACGACGCGACCGATTCTTTGATCGCTGGCTCGTGGGACCGACCAGTCACCGGCGGTGGGTTCCGTCAGCCGAAGCCTTTCCCTCTGCCTGCCGAGAGTGATATGCTTCCCACAACAGCCGGCGAACTCCTTGCTGCGCGATCCGCAGAGGTCGAATCGCCGTCAAGCCCAACTTTCCCACACGCAATCACGACGCCCGATGATGCTGCGTGGCCCCTGACGACTTCGAGCACCACTTTCGCGTATGAGACTGCTCTGGCTGATGTTCCGGAGGAGGATGAGCAGCATGTAGCATCCCGGCGATCGCGTCTCAGCTTGGCAAGCAACAACTCCTCCCTGCGCGGAAGTCATTCGGTTCCAATGCTGCGCCTGTCGGCACAGCTTCAAGCAGCACAACTCCAGTCCAAAGATCCTCATCGGCCCATGAGTGGTGCTTCCGACACGCTGGGACGATTCGACGTGATTGCTGCTCAGCGCGCTCTGAAGGCAGCATTACATGAGACGAGCGAGGTTGAAATATTGCCTCGTGAAAGCTGGGAAGATGACATTGACTATTGCTACGAACACGAGGCTGAAGCTGACTTTGAGTACGCTTGGGATCGGCCATCTCTTGACGGTGATAGGGATGAGGAGGATCATTCTGTGGATCTGGACGCGACAGCGACGACGGCTTCCTACAGCTTCTGCGTTGACGAGGATATCGAGGGCATTCAGCCATTGTCTGTTGGGCTTCAACCTGTGCCGGCCCGGCACTTTGACATTCCGGCCCTCAGCCCTGTTAGTCAAGCGTCGACAGCCACCGGCCACGAGGCCATCACGCCGACAGTTCCGTTGATGCCAACAACGTCCAACTTCTCACATCCACGAATCGAAAGTGCATGCCGCAGTCCTACTCATCTGCATGTGCGAACTGCATCCCGTGCATCTAGCTTCAAAGAATCCCATGGGTTCAACCTCTCGCCATCCCTCCTTATCCCAGGCGATTTTCAGCAGCAGATGGTCATGGCAGAGTCTCGCGTCGACGAGTATTCTGATGAGATGCTCTCTTCTGGGGCAGTTCGTTTCTCTTACGGCACGGATGCCCCTGTGGCGTTGAGCACCTCCGGCCTGTACATTCATGATCGCACCAGCACGTCGACGACTGGCTCGAATTCGACTGGGCATACCACATCTAGCGACGAGCGCCACATCTCAGCAGACTCCAACTTGACTGCCTTGACTCGTTATACCAGTGGCACCGCCTTCGAGGCGTGGAATCCCAAGGCTTTAGATACCGTCGATCCTGCTTCCCTGGAATACGACGAAGTCCCACCTCTGTCATCACCAAAGAGCCCGAAGAGCCCATGGTCAGATGGTGGCGATGTCATGTCCCGCTCCATGGGGGATATACGGGACGAGGAGAGGCGTATCGCAGCCAGTGCAGGGCGTGATAGTGTGCAGTCCACCAGAAACAAAGAAACATACAGACATAGGCGTCAGAGGGCACATACCACGAGTTTGAGCACCCCGGCTGGCGGCTATGCTCTGTTTCCGCCTGCTTACGCTGGCAACCGGATCTGATGGTGGAGCATCAACTTGTACTTGATGAGGATTTCCAACCCCTACTGTGGCCACCTCGCACCCCCGGCACCGTTTCTTCAAACACGGTGTCGCTGAGTCGTGGGATACGCAATGTTTTCTTTTGTTCCTTTCGTTTCTTCTCACAAAGACTTTTGCAGGCCTGGCAGTACATGGCCTGTACGCACGCTCGTTTACGGGAGTTTCCTGGAGTTTTTCTACCGGTGTTCGAGATTGGCCGTTGGCTGCTACATCTTGGGGGCTTTCACCGATCATCTTTTGCCCGTCTTTTTTTTTTCCTACACTTCGAGCACGGTTATTTTGATCAGACAAGGTTGCTCGCAGGA